CTCTGGTGAGCACATGTACTTTTTGGCAAATTAAAATAATAATAATAAATAAATCCTAATCTAAAAATTAAAAAGAAAACACTGACTATATTTGTCTCAGAAGTCTATTTCTCACAAAACTAGTATTATAATAACACAAGAGAAAAAAGTTTTAATTGCTAGAGCGTGCGTGTGCTTTGAGAGAGAGAAACAGAGGGTGAGAAAGCCTCCTCAATGGGACACATTCCTGTCACAATCTTCCTCCTCCGTTTCTCCATCCTGTTAGGATTCTGGGCATGTACACACGCACACACACACACACACACACACACACACACACACACACATCTGCTGTGTTTTTCAAGCTGCCAATGCCAGAATTTGAACCATGGTTGGCCATGTGGGATCAAACTCCCTCAAGCTCTAGGCCATAGTGTCAGCCTGAGACAATTTTAAAAAGAAAAAATATATAACTAGACCACCTGATGGAGTGATGGTTAAGTTGGCTGGATCCCATATAGGCAACTGCGCGATTTAAGTCCCAGACTCAGCAGCTTGAAAAACATGCCAGGCACATGTGTATGTGTGCCCAAAATCTCGAGAGAAGAATGGAGGAGAGGAGACTGCGGTGTGCTTATGTCCCTTGGAGGATGCTTTCTCACTTTCTGTCTCTCTGGCAGGTGTGTGTACTCTGCAGCAAATTAAAATGAAGGAAAAAAAATCATAATCTTTCACCATTCAGTCCAATCATTTTTATTCAACTCAATCACCCATTTTCATCCAATCATTTTGGCAAGACAATTAAGAGCACTTCAGAAAGGACTCTGGAGCATGATCTGTAGGTTGACAAGCCTGGGACCTGGGTGTGGGGTGAGCGTGAAAGTGGGTCAAGAAGGAGATGGTAGGATGGAGGAAAGGCACCTATAAGGCAGATCTTGCAGAATGAATCTCCCATCATCTCACCCAATGCCTTGTGGGACTGATGGAAGAATGTTTTTTTGCTTATCTTTGCAGTCACCTCTATAAGAAGAACCTTGATGTGACCAAAATCCGAACAGGAAAACCTCAGCCGCTTCTCAGAGTAGACGACCATGACTTCACCATGAGGCCTGCCTTTGGAGGTAGGAGTGAATCCTCCCCTTGGGCCAGCTGGGGCCTGGTTGCCCAATGATGCCCTTCCTTGAGGAGTGTGATTTTCCCAGGAAGCAAAGACGGGATGGAAGTGGTAGCGAGGATTGGAATGACAAGAGGTAACTGGGTGGCTAAGCTGTTTACACTCACAAAAGAGACTAGCTCTGCAGTTGCCAACTTTCTTTTTCTAAATAAATAAGAGCAGGTGGAGAGAGCCAGGGCACAAAATGCCCCGTGACTAAGCTGGGAATTTCCAGTTGTGATGGGGCCACCTGCTTTCCCAGGTAGCAACAGCAACTTAACTCACTTCAGTGAGCCCCTCACACACCTACCCCCAAAGGAGATTTGCTGCTTCTGGGGAGTGGGGAGATGTAGTCCAGTGGCTGTCTCTCCCAATAAATGGAGAAATGCCATGGGGTGGGGGAGGGAGGCTGGTGTCTTAATTTGTTCAGGCTACTATAACAAAAATACCATAGGCCCAGTGGCTTATACACAATGAAAATTAATTTCTCATAGTGTGAAGGCTGGAAGCTCAAGATCAGAGTACGGACAGATTTTTTTGTTTTTGTTTTTGTTTCTGTTTTGAGAGGTTTTTGCTATAGGGCGCGTGCACTTCCCAGAAAGACAGAGACAGAGAGACAGAAAGCAAGAAATCACCCCCCAAGGGGTATGGCCACATCATAATTCCGTCTCCTCCATTCTCCTCTTGGGATCTTGGGCTCCTATGCACACATGCCTAGCATGAGTTTAAGCCACCAGGTCTGGGATTCAAACCGCAGTCAACTACATGGGAGTCCAGCAACATAGCCATTATGCCAACTGCTGGTCCCCAGATTTTTTTTTTAAGAGAGATTTTTGCTATAGGGCACGTGCGCTCACTAGAGAGACAGAGAGACAGAAAGTGAGAAATCACACCCCCTCCCAGGGGTGATGGCCACACTGCAGTCCCTTCTCTTCCAGTCTCCTCTTGGAATTTTGGGCACACATGCACACGTACACACACAAGCCCCTTGTGAGTTTTAAGCTACTAGGTCTGGAACTTTGAACTGCGGTTGACTATGTGGGAGTGCAGCAACGTAACCAGTACACCATCTGCCAGCCTCAATGGCCGAAAGATTTGATGTTTGGTGTAGGCCCATTTTTTTGGTCCATAGATGACGCCTTCTCAGTGTGTCCTCTTATTGTAGAAGGGGTTAGGGAATCTCTCTGGGGTCTTTTTAGTAAAGATTCTAATCCCATTCATGAGTGCTCTACCCTCATGACCCAGCTACCTCCTAAAGGCCTCCCTTCCTAAAATTTCAACATATGCATTTACAGGGACAATCATTCAGGTCAAAGCAGCTAGGAAAGCAGTCACCGTCTGCTCTGACTAGGTGGGGAGCTGGGTGCCCTATAGCAAAATAAGTAATAATAATAATAATAAATAAAGTTAAATCATTTTAAAAAATGAAAAGGAACGTGTGAATTCCCTGGGCCAGCTCCCATTCTCATGTGCAGGAAAACAAGCCCAGAGCATTACAGTGAATGGGGCTGTTATTTTAATCCTCTCAACAACCTATGATGTAAATAGGTGCATATTACCCTCATATTACCTTCAAGATAGACCCAGGTGGTCTGACTTCCCTTTCACCTTTGTCTCTGCCCCTGAGCCTCTCTTAGATCCACCATTCCCCTGGGGCAGCAGGAAGGAGCAGGGGTGATCTACAGGCAGATTACCAATCCTTTCTGAGCCTCTGTTTGCTTGTTTATAAAATGGGGATAGTAATCCCTATGTATGAGTTGTTGTCCAGATTAAAACAAGATAATGTATGTAAAGCCCCTGACACATATTCATTCACGTCCCCTCGGAAAAACCCAGCTGTCAGACCTTCCTCTTGTGTTACTGTTAAGGGATTAAGAAATTAATTTATCCCAGAGGCCTTTACATTCTAAAAGGTCTCAAAGCCTCCCACTAAATTCCCTGAGCTCCGACACCTGCTAAGCAGAAAGAGGAAAGCAGGCAGCAGATTACAGTCCTCTGATTCTTCTCCTCACTGGGCAACTGCTTTACCCCCACCTCAAGTCACCACATTTCTACTGGTTCCAGATTCCCAGGGCTATCAACATGATCAACTCTGCCAAGGAATTTGATGAAAAGAACATTTTACTGAATAAGCAGCTTTAAAACAATTGTAACTTCTCCAACAAGTCTAAGCAAGATATCCCCATAAGCTGGAAGCTCCACTTTAGTTTTCTTGTACAGAATCAGAAAAGAGTTTACAGGTTTAGTGCAGATGATGGCATGGCAGTGATACAACTGGAGGCACATGAGGAGGTTCTGGGTTTGTATCCCAGGGCCTTTCTGTACATGCCAGTGATCTGTGTTGGTGGAGGTTGAGGATGCTGTGGCATGAGGACCCTGATGGGAATGCCTGTTTTGCTCTCTTTCTCAGAAGAAATAAATAAACAAACTTAAGGAAAAAAGTTAGAGGACCCACTAAGTGGCTAGGAAAAATAACATTGTAATACAGATGACAACTACCACTTCTATGGTGATGTTTCTGTGCCAGGCACCATTGCAATCAAGGTGCTCATGTATATTATCTTATTTTAACCCTCTCAACAACCTATGAGGTAAATAGGCGCATATTGCCCTCACATGAGGAAACAGGCACAGAGAGGTGAAGTGATTGGCTCAGGATCCCTGCTACCTGAGGTTGGGCCCTCGCTCTTAGCAGGGTCTCTTTCTTGTCCTCTACTTGTATGTCCCTCAACACAAAAAATCCATTACGCAGAGGGGGCATTCTGTCTCGGGCCCATAACACTTTAAGGGACCCCTCCCCAAAAGACCCCTCTGCTTTCTTTTAAGTAGAAAAAAGTTGGTTTAATATACATTATTAATATATTTATCTTTATACCAAAATAGTTATAAAATATCCTTTTGAATTTTGATTTTTAGAAAAAGAGGCCCATGTAGGCAAAAGTGTTAGGGCTCTCAAAAGTCATAATGTGGCCCTGCCTTGATGAAGTTTTGAGAGGAAGATGTGTGTGGCTTGGTTAGGGTGATATTCTAGACAATGTGTGACTTTCTGTGGAGGCTGCTGTTCCTGTCAATAGTCTGAGCAGTCACTGGTCAGCACCTTCAGTGTGTAGAAGAGGGTGAGGTTGATGGGGTTAAGGGATGGCCATAGAACAGCTGGGGACAGAACTTTGATTTCTTCTGTGGCAAAACTGCAAAAGTGAAAGCCTTGGGGCCAGCAGGAGGTGTGGTGGTTAAGGAACTGGATCCCACATGGCTGACTGCTCGGTTTGAGTCCCAGACTCAACAACTTGAAAGACACAACAGGTACCCAAGTGTGCACCCAAAATTCCAAGAAGAGAGAGAAGGAATTGTGGCCTACCCCTTGGGGGGGCACTCCCTATGGTGGGTAATTTCTCACTTTCTCTCTGTCTCTCTGGTGAAAGCATGCACCCTATGGCAAAAATTAAAAAAAAAAAATAGTGGAAGCTTTGAATAAATGCCTATTCCTTTGGGAGAAAAGCCAGGAACTAACTCTCAGGAATGGCAGGTGAAGTCTTAACACTGTTCCCCAAAACCCTGGTTCTGAGTAGAATCATGCAACATGCTGCAGCCCTGTCAGAGAGCTCTTTCCTCAACCCACATTCAAGGGTAAAACTGGACTTCCTGTACCCTTACCACTGCATCTGCAGGACCCATCTATAAAGTCCCCAGAGTGGGACTTAGCCTCTGCCTGAGAAAACTCTTGGCTCTCAGGGAAGAAGGTACCCATTAGTGGGTGCGAAGAGACCTGAGCCTCCCACACTCAGCTATCAGGATCTCAGTCACCAGAGCGTAGTCAGCGCCTCTTTCCTTTCATTCCTCCCTCCTCCCTCAGGGCAGTTGGTGCTCTGGGCACCTTTAATTTCCTGTAGAACTTTCCTGGATGCTCAGATGTGACTTGGATGTCAAAGGGGCATACACAGTGAGGTACCAAGGCTCCGCACCTCCACAAGCCAATAACTAGGAATGTTTGCTCCTAGCCAGGCAGACTAGGAAAAGCCATCACAGGAATGATCTTCATAATCTGTGATCTCCAGGAGCATCTGGCAATGACTTAACAGCCAAGAAGACTTCCCTGAAAGCACTCCTGTGTACCCCCATTCCACCCCACACCTCATCCCCAGGCAGGGTACTGATCAGGGGACAGGTGGGTCTCCATGAGGAAGGAAGCTCACAGACAGCACATAGGTGACTCTGCAAACCAGGGGCTTCACCGAGTTCGTGGAAAAATCTTTTAATTCCAATTTTTCCACAAAATTTTTTGAAGCCTCCTTGTGAAGGTGCCTTACCCTGGGGCCAGTCCTATAACAGGCTTCTAGTTAGAAGTAGAGCCGGGACCCAACCCACCTAAGTGCTGGCACACCCTAACAGCCCTTCCTTCAGCACCCATCACCCTAAGATCACTGGAACAAAGATGTCCTCCATAGCCTCAGCCTTATTGTGGGCTACATCCTCATTCCCATCTCCTTTTCCACTTTATTTCACTAAGAGGGACTTCCTTGTGGCTTGATGTTTGAAAGTAGCTAACAGGAATTTGTCTAAAACCAGATACCCCTTGGATGACCTTTTCAGTCTGGAAAGAGAAAAGATTAAAAATCTAGCAGCTTTCTAATAATCCCAGGGATCAGTTGAAACAAAAATACCTTGTCTAAGCAACCAGCTGCCTGATTTGGTAGTGTGTCCTGGTTAGAAGAACTTCTAGAGGCTTGGATTTTCTCTTTCACTTGTTAGAAGTAACATTACAAGCCTTTCTTATTTTTTATTTAAAATTTAATTTTTAAAAATTGCGATGAAATATTGTACATCTCAAATTTATACAATTGTATTTGTTGATTATATATCAATAGAGATGGGAAAAATAAACTATGGTAAAATATACATGAAATTTACCATTTTAACTACTTAAAAAAGAATTGCCAGCAGGCATATGGACTCAACAAGAAGAAAGAG